GGCTCGGGGCTGCCACTTTAGAATCCACATGGCTTGCACATAAGAGGTGGGGGCTGATGTCCATGCTCTGTTCTGCGGCTTCTTACCTTGATGTAGTTGACGAACTCTGTCAGGAAGCTGTGGGACTAAGGGAGAGAGAAAGAACCAGGGTGAGCATCTGCCAGCAGGGTTCACTGCAGTCTGTGCCTACCCTCCTGCTCACCTGACGGCCGCCTGCTTGCTGCCTGCCTGTGTTCCTGCCCAACCACCTGCGTGTGCCACCTGCCCACCTGTCTCCCAGGGTTAGGGGTCTTGGGGACACCAACCCTAGCTGCTACAGCCCACTGGTACTGACACCCACCTCCTACCACCTATCAGTGCTCAGCCAGGAGTGTTTGGGTGGCTGATTTTAGTGCTGCTTAGACCGCCCTGGTGGCACCAGAGTGGAGGTGGGAATTCCTGAGGCGGCAGCCCACCTGCTCCTCAGTCATGGTCTCGCTCACGCCCTCCTCCTCCACCACGAAGGCTTCCTTCAGTTTCAGGTACTCTTCATGCTCTCGCTGGGCCTGCTCCTCCCGTGCCTTCCTCTCCTCCTCCTCCTGCAAACATAAAGGTGGCAAGGGTCAGGGATTTAGCAGATATCCTCCATCCCTGTCCTGGTCCTTGGTACCCTTTCCCAGGGGCAAAGTGCCCAGTTCCCCAGCCTCTGAGCTAAGCAACAGGTGGAGGACCCTCTCATCACCAGCCCCATTACGACTCAGACAGGTGCTGCCCAGCCCTTGTTCCTGCCTTTGCTCAGATTTATTTGATAAAAATCTCTTGAAAACTGTGCCATAGCCCCATCTCATAATCTACTTCAGTCCCACCCCCCACCAACACACACACACACACACACACACACACACACACACACATATACACCCCATGACGTCCAGTCTTCGTGAACACACACCCAGGCTCCATTTCCTCAGCACCCATTCTCCCAGTCAGCCCACCCCAACCTGGCCTTCTGGTACCCAGCTCCACTGAAACAATCCTGGTCTCGCCCGTGCCCTCCATCTCTCCAGTCGACAGACAACCTTCAGGTCTCAGATACCTGTCCTCTCAGCGGGCTGGGCATAGCCAGCCGACCCTTGGTTTGGAGACCCCACCCTCTCTTGGATTTCCTCCTGCTCCTTGGGCCATTCTTCCCTATTCATCATTCCTCCTCCACATTCTTTCTCGACCACCTCACCTGTGCCCACAGCATCAACAACCATTTCCTTGCCAGTGACTGCCACAGCTGTGTCATCGAATCCTTCTCCCCAAACACACACCTGCCCACCTTACACATCCACTGGGCCATCTCACGGGTACTGGACAGACTCTGTGATCTGTTCTTCACATCTGGCCCTCCGTCCTGATCCCTGGTTCAGTGAATCACAGAGCCAACAGCCAGCGGCATGGTCACAAATGAGTTGTCATCTCCCATTTCTATCTCTAACTTCCAGAAAACTCCTCAGGCCACCCATGTTGCTCCACCACTACTGCCTAGTGAAAGAGCCTTCCTGTCCTCCATCCCATTTTCTAGAACACTCAGAAGAATCTTTTGAAAACATGAAGCTAAGCTGGGACAGCTAATATATAAGATGAACTTGGAGCACACTCCTGTGCCAGAAAGAAAGTGTTCAAAAACAAAAGAATGAGCTTATGTCAAAGGTTTGCAGCTGGCAGGTGATTAAGGGTGCTGGACTCCCACATGGCTGACTACCATTCGAGTCTCGGACCTGGCAGCTTGTTCTCTCTCTCTCTCTCTCTCTCTCTCCCTCTCTGGTCAAACTGAAATAAATAAATGAATGAATAAAGTTAAATAAAATAATTTAAATTAAAAATAAATTTTAAAAAAAAAGGTATGCAGCCAACTGAAAGGACTCTCTCAATGGTCAAAGCTGAAACAAATTGAACAACAAAATAAATAACATGTTCTAAGAGTGGAACATAATCTGCAAAATAAATAAATCAGTCTACATAAAGAAAAACGACCAAATAAACAAGGAAGAAAAACTATCCTGTACAAATTACTTTCAAATAATCTATGTAGTCTCCTCTCCAGGAGGTGGAATATAACTCCTCCCCTTCCCCTTTTTTAATCACCAGAGGTCACATGCACTTTCCAGAGAGAGACAGAGAGAGAGGGAGAATGCACTCCCCAGTGGGGAATGTTCATGCCACAATCCCTTCTCTCCACTTCTCCACCCTGTGGGGATCAAGGGCAGGTACACACGTGTGACATGGATTGCAAACTGCCAGGGCCAGGATTCATACCACATGTTTAGCTATGTGGGATCTGGCTCCCTTAACCGCTAGGCCATGGGACTGGTTGCTCCCTACCCCGTAAGTGTGGGCTGTACACACACAGACTTCTTTCCAAAGAAGTATGAGAAAGCAGGAAAAAAAAACCAGTAACATTATCCTGGAGAATCTGGCAAACACGACCTCAGGCGGGTGACTGTGGTTATACCATCAGTATAAGCCAAGTCCTTGGCATGTTCCCTTTGTATGCTGAGTTGAGAACAAACTTCAGTTGTCTTCTTCTCTCCAATGTGTAATGCTAATCTAACCGGGTGAAAAAACATCAGTCGATATCAAAATGAAGGACAGTCTACACTATCTGCCCAGTCCTCAAAACCATCAAGATCACTGGTAACAAGGAAAGTCTGAGAAACTACCGCAACCCAGAGAAGCCTAAGGAGACCTAACAACTAAATGTAACATGGTATTGGGAATGAACTCTGGAAAGAAAAAGAATACTGAGGGAAAACCCCTCCAATAAAATCTAAATAATGTGTGGCATTTAGTTATCTTAATATATCAACACTAATTGCAAAAAAATTTACTACAGTAAGATGTTAAGAATAGTACAAACTAGGACCAGTAGTGTGCCCACAGCATCAACAACCATTTCCTTGCCAGTGACTGCCACAGCTGTGTCATCGCATCCTTCTCCCCAAACACACACCTGCCCACCTTACACATCCACTGGGCCATCTCACGGGTACTGGACAGACTCTGTGATCTGTTCTTCACATCTGGCCCTCCGTCCTGATCCCTGGTTCAGTGAATCACAGAGCCAACAGCCAGCGGCATGGTCACAAATGAGTTGTCATCTCCCATTTCTATCTCTAACTTCCAGAAAACTCCTCAGGCCACCCATGTTGCTCCACCACTACTGCCTAGTGAAAGAGCCTTCCTGTCCTCCATCCCATTTTCTAGAACACTCAGAAGAATCTTTTGAAAACATGAAGCTAAGCTGGGACAGCTAATATATAAGATGAACTTGGAGCACACTCCTGTGCCAGAAAGAAAGTGTTCAAAAACAAAAGAATGAGCTTATGTCAAAGGTTTGCAGCTGGCAGGTGATTAAGGGTGCTGGACTCCCACATGGCTGACTACCATTCGAGTCTCGGACCTGGCAGCTTGTTCTCTCTCTCTCTCTCTCTCTCTCTCTCCCTCTCTGGTCAAACTGAAATAAATAAATGAATGAATAAAGTTAAATAAAATAATTTAAATTAAAAATAAATTTTAAAAAAAAAGGTATGCAGCCAACTGAAAGGACTCTCTCAATGGTCAAAGCTGAAACAAATTGAACAACAAAATAAATAACATGTTCTAAGAGTGGAACATAATCTGCAAAATAAATAAATCAGTCTACATAAAGAAAAACGACCAAATAAACAAGGAAGAAAAACTATCCTGTACAAATTACTTTCAAATAATCTATGTAGTCTCCTCTCCAGGAGGTGGAATATAACTCCTCCCCTTCCCCTTTTTTAATCACCAGAGGTCACATGCACTTTCCAGAGAGAGACAGAGAGAGAGGGAGAATGCACTCCCCAGTGGGGAATGTTCATGCCACAATCCCTTCTCTCCACTTCTCCACCCTGTGGGGATCAAGGGCAGGTACACACGTGTGACATGGATTGCAAACTGCCAGGGCCAGGATTCATACCACATGTTTAGCTATGTGGGATCTGGCTCCCTTAACCGCTAGGCCATGGGACTGGTTGCTCCCTACCCCGTAAGTGTGGGCTGTACACACACAGACTTCTTTCCAAAGAAGTATGAGAAAGCAGGAAAAAAAAACCAGTAACATTATCCTGGAGAATCTGGCAAACACGACCTCAGGCGGGTGACTGTGGTTATACCATCAGTATAAGCCAAGTCCTTGGCATGTTCCCTTTGTATGCTGAGTTGAGAACAAACTTCAGTTGTCTTCTTCTCTCCAATGTGTAATGCTAATCTAACCGGGTGAAAAAACATCAGTCGATATCAAAATGAAGGACAGTCTACACTATCTGCCCAGTCCTCAAAACCATCAAGATCACTGGTAACAAGGAAAGTCTGAGAAACTACCGCAACCCAGAGAAGCCTAAGGAGACCTAACAACTAAATGTAACATGGTATTGGGAATGAACTCTGGAAAGAAAAAGAATACTGAGGGAAAACCCCTCCAATAAAATCTAAATAATGTGTGGCATTTAGTTATCTTAATATATCAACACTAATTGCAAAAAAATTTACTACAGTAAGATGTTAAGAATAGTACAAACTAGGACCAGTAGATCGTGTAGTGGTTACATAGCTGGACTCCCACATAGTTGACTGTGGTTCGAGTTCCAGACTCAGTGGCTTATAACTCATACCAGGCATGGGTGTGTGCATGCCCAAAATCTAGAGAGGAGAGTGGAGGAGGAGAGATTGTGGTGTGGCCATTCCTCGCTGCATCCTGAGGGGTGAGTTCTTGCTTTCTGTCTCTGTCTCTGTCTCTGTCTCTCCAGCGAGAGCACCCACTTTATCACAAAAATCTCTCTCTCAAAAAAAAAAAAAAGAGTGAAAACTGGGTATAGGGGAGAAAACCAAGGGTATTTAAAGTACATTAGATGAACTGATATACAAAAGAGTGAAAAATCCTTTTTGCTAACACCTCCCCCTGTGTTCCAGCCCATTTGCTGCAGTGCCTATTCAGTGCCCATCCAGGTCCTGGGACAACAGGACCAGTCAGAGGCTACAGGCATCAGACCACAGTGTCTTCCTAGCTGAGGCAGCCCCAGCCGTCACCCTATATACCCTACAACTTTGTGCTGTTCCCTTTAATAGGAAACTGACTCTCAGAACGAGGGAAGCACCTCGCAAACAAACATTTATTAACCACCTCTACTGAAGTAGCCTCATTCCCTGAGCATGTTCTCCATGCCAGGCCCTAAATGGACCATCTCTTATGATGACCTTTAATAGCCCCAAGACCCTCAGGATCCAGAGTTCCCTTACCTCTCTGAGCCCTTTGCTTCTTGCTTACTCTGCTCCAACCACTCTGCCCACCTCAGTGTTCTGTAAATGCTTGGCACACTTCATGATGACAAGCACAGAATCCCCATCTCAGGCTCTGCTTTCCAGTAGCAGCCTCCATAGGCTGTGTCTAGAGCCCAGGAACCAAAAAAGTTAGCCCTTGCCCTGCACCTGGCTCACGGACCATCTTGCACACTGGAGGTATCAGGGAGCTGTATGGGAGGAAAGGCTTCTAGTTGGAGGTCAGGATCACAGGTGGACCTCACCTTCTGTGCCTCCTCCAGGCGAAGTCGCTCCTCCTCCTTCTTCCACTCTGCTTCACGCTGGGACTCAAGGCGTTTCCGTTCCTCACGTTCTGCCTCCTCTGCCTGGAGAGAGGCTTTCATAAGGGCACATCCCCCCCACCCCACCTAGAGTCTGACCACTTCCCAGACTGGCCAGGGAAGCCAATGTCTGGGTTTGGGCACAGACCACAGGCTGAGCCACATAAACATCAGATAAGAGCCCAGCACGCAAGAAGCCCTGAGGGGGATATAAGCCACAGGGACGGGAAAGGTAGGGTCCTCTCCTACTTGCCTCACGCTGGGCTTTTCGCGCCTGTTTCTCCTCCAACTTCCGTAGTTTCTTGGCTCCGATTTTTCCTGACAGGTGAGTTTCCACTGGCTTCTCAATGCCTTCTTCCTCCTGGGCTGAACATGGTCAGAGGAAGACAGTTCAGGTCCTGGCCAGAAAGGACTGATGGATGATGGAGGCTCTTCACTCCTTGTCCCTTTCCTCATGGGACAATCCCGTTCCACTTGTCTGCCGATGTTACTATTCTGCCTCAGCTCTCCAGAGGTATGTGCATAAACACTCACGTGTGTGCACTTGCAGGTGAGTGCTTATACTTGCTGGCATGGGGAAGGGGTGATTGGGCCGATGCACAGCCAAAAAGAAGCGCGTGCTAGGATGCAACCCTGGTGTCTGAAAATAACAGGCCTGGTTGTCCTGGCTTGCAGAGGTCTGACTCTGGTTTCCGTCCCTGTACCAAACCTCCAAGCAAGGACATGTCTGTAGGAAAATCTATCCTAGACTCAAACTGAAATCCTCCTCCCAGCAGTCAAAAGGTGCAGAAGATTCTAGGCTCAGCTCTGTTCAGGAATATCCCTTGTCCCACTGGAGCCAGGTTAATTAGATAATCCCAATTCCCAAACCACCCCAGGGCTAGCTAAAGACCCATTGATACCCAAGCAACAAGGGTATCTGACCCCAAATCTGAAGCTGAAGAGATGGTGCAAACAAGGGCCTCTTCTTGAGCTCAAAGGGCAAATCCCCAAGGGAACAAGGCAAAAGCCTCAAATGCTCCGAAGTTCTGGAAAAAGCCAGATGCTCCCTCCTCAGGCTGAAGTCATTCATTAGGTACTGGAGAAGAGACATTCCTTCTCACAATCCAAAGGGCTCTGTTGGTCTCCCAGCATCAAAGATATGGAGGCCTATGTGTTAACCGAGTATCTCTGTTTCCAAGCCCTTCTTTAGGGTTTCAGAAGTACCCACTCCAAGGATACTGGGATACAAAGGAGGATTTAAAAACTCTCTGGGGGGCTAGCAGGTGGTGTGGTGGTTAAGGAGGCTGGACTCCCATATGGCTGACCATGGTTCTAGTCCCAGACCTGGCAGCTTGCTCTCTCACTTTCGTTCTCTCTCTCTCTGGTCAACTTCAAAACAAATAAAAATAAACATAATGAGTAAGATTAAGTTTTAAAAATTCTTAAAAAAAAAAAATCTTTCTAGGTTGGGGCTGGCAGGTGGCATGGTGGATAAGGGCGCTAGACTGCCACATGGCCGATTGCGGTTTGGGTCCTGGACCCGGGGACTTGCTTTCTCACTTTCTCTCTCTCTCCCCCACTCTCTGGTCAAATTAAAATGAATAAATAAATAAATAAATAAAGTTAAATAATAAAATAATTCTTAAGAAGCAGAACAACTCTCTAGGTCCTTCTGAAGACCCTGCTCTCCTCCTTAGATGCTGAGAGGATGGGCCAGCTGGTGCGGTGGTGGTGAAGGTGGCTGGATCCTACATGGCTCACACTGCGATTCACGTCTCAGACCCAGCAGCTTGAAAAGCACGCTGGACGCATGTCCACATGTGCCAAAAATCCCCACAGGAAAGAGAAGTGGAGGAGAAGGGATTGTGGTGCGATTGTGCCCCATGAGGAGTAATTTCTTACTTTCTCACTTTCTCTTTCTCTCTCTGGTGAATAGATGGACCCTATGGCAATTAAAAAAATTATTTTAACTTTATTTATTTTAATTTGACCAGATTTCTTGTCTTACCATCACCTGACAGAGAGAGAGAGAGAGAGAGAGAGAGAAAGCAAGCTGCCAGGTCCAGGACTTGAACTGTGGTTGGTTACGTGGGAGTCCAGCATCTTTAACCACCACGCCATCTGCCAGCCTTGAAAAATGTTTTTAGAAACACACTGAGAGCAAAGAAGAAGGAAAAGATGAAGGAAGAAAGAGTTGCCCCAATGAAATAGGAGCTGGGGTCCAAAATGCTAGCACCCACAACCAAAGGTCTCAAGTCTCCCCCACTCCAACCTGTGACTCCTAGATGTATCTTCCATACTATGGTTTCACATCTCACCTCGACATCAGCTTTGGGGACTCCCATTACCTTGCCCCCATGCCCCACCCCCAACTTATCCTCCCTCCCCACCAGGCTAGACACCCCTTACCTGGGATGACAGCTTCTTCTCCATTCTCATCCACTTCTGCCCAGGCTGCCTGCTGGGCTCGACGCTGGGCCTGGAGGCGGCTGCCCAGGTCTCTACGGCGGCGGGGTCTGCCTCCAGGTCTCTGTTCCTCGGGCTCCAGGGGCCGAGCCTGGGCCACCTGGCCTGCTGCTACTGGTCCCTCCTCATTGTGGGGTGACTCTTGACGGGTTTAGGGAAGAGAAGAATGGCAATGCCAGTCAGCCTGACCTACCTGATGGCAGCCTGGTCCTGGAAGGCTCACCCTCCTCCCAGACTCCTGCTGCCCACAACACAAACCCAACTTACTGTGACAGTCAAAAGCCCTTTACAAGCCAGGCCCACCATGGTCCTGTGCAGCAAGCTCTGCCCTTCCTGTGTTAATACTTTTCTCTCCCCTCAAGGCCCCACCCTCCCATCTGGCCTGATGGAAGACTACCCTGACTTCTCTGGAGCTCATCCAATGGCCACTACAGAACTACGTTTATTTCTTGCCTTACCACCACTTGTCATGGTTCTACCTGAGCGTAGACGCCTCAGGCAGGGCGAGTCTCCCTCCCCAGGAAGACTGCCTGCCTGTCTGCCCTAACTCAGCTTCTCTCTCCCCTGCCTTTGGAGTGTGCAGGTGGTCTGGAATAGCATGTGGGCCAGGGACAGGGAGATGCGCACACTCACAAACCCATATACGGAGAAGAAATAGGGGCAAGGGGAATGACAGGTGTGTCTTTTGTGCCCTGGCCGGCGACAGGGCCCCTCCTCAGGGTGCAGAACGGGGAGGAAGGGAGGCCAAGGCAGCAGGGTGCTCTCCTGGACGAAGCATGGGAGGACTTGGGGGGGTTTCCTGGACCCGCCTCATCGAGGTTCCCTCCAGCTCGCGGGCAGGCAAAAAGCACTCGAGTCCCTGTTCCTGTCGCCGCTCTCGAGCCAGCCAAAGAGGGGGGCTGGAAACCCTTTGGGCCCCCCAGTGGGTGCAGAGGGGATGACTCCAGAGGGATGGAAGACAAGGACTGGAGGTCGGAAGTGCCAGGGGCGAAAAGAGCAGTAAGGCAAGGCTCTCCCTTGAGAGAGAGAAAGATTCAGGAACTCTGCCAGCCAGGTTCCAGGCAGGGCTCCAGCGGGTGGCCCGCGACCGCTAGTCGCGCGCACGTACGCGCCTGTGCGTGGCCTGCCTGACGCGCAATCGCGACCCCGCAGCCTCGCCAGGTATGCCCGCGCATGCGCACGAGTTGCGGCGCAATGGCCCACAAAGGCTCAGAAGGCCCGAGAACCGGGTCCCAACGGCCCTGGCGCGGCAGCAACTCCTACCTGCTGCCGCCCGGCCCCGGCTGCGAGTCAAAAAGAAGATAAGGCCGACAAGCAGCGCCGCCGCCACCAAGTACACCAGGGGCGCCATCATGACGACGGCTTCAGGCAGAACCAACACGTCCACCGAAAAGCCCGGATCTCCCAGGCTCCGCCCAACTTTCATAGGCCCCTCCTGTTTCCCACCGAGGCTCCGCCCACCGCAGAGGGCCTGCCCAGGCTGCACACTCTCCGTGGAAGCCTCGATCTTTTACTTTTTTTTTTGGAAAGAATTTTGCTATAGGGCGTGTGAGCTCGCCAGAGAGAGAGAGAGAGAGAGAGAAAGCGAGAAATCACCCCCAAGAGGGGATGACCGTGCCACAATCCCTGCTCCTCCATCCTCTTGGGATCTTGGGCACACACGCACACGCGCAGGGCATGAGTTTAAGCCACTAGGTTCAGGACTCCAACTGCAGTCGACTACATGGGAGTCCAGCGACATAGCCATTACACCCACTGCTGGTCCCATTTACTTCTAAATGAATGGGGAGGGAAGAAATGGGGAAGATAAACCATCAGATGGCATAATGGTTTCCTTGCTGGACTCCCACGTAGATAACTGAAGTTCTAGTCCTGGACCTGGCGACCAAAAACTCTCACTGGGTGCGTTTGCCCGCGTGGAGAATAAAGAAGGGACTGCAGCGTGGCCAATCCCCCTGGGGAATGAGTTCTCACTCCTGCCTCTCAGCAAAAATCTCTCCAAAAAAATAAAGAATTAGGGATTGGTACTAGGCCGGACTTCCACATGACTGACTGTGGTTTGAGTTCCTGGTTTGAGTCTCTGGCAGCTGGAAAATCGCACCGTGTGCACGTGGATGAGTGGTCAAAATTCTGAGATTTTAATAAAAAAAAAAAAGAGAGAATGGAGGAGAGGGGATTGGGGCATGGCCATGTGTGCGTGTGTGTGTGAGAGGCGGGGGCGAGGATGTGATTTTTCACTTTCTCACTCTCTCCAGGGAATGCACACTCTATGGCAAAAAACAAACAAACAAAAAAAAACTTAAAAACGGGTGCAATCTCTTCACCTCCAACCAGCAGGTGGTGTGCTGGTTAAGGGTGCTGGACTCTAACATGGCCCAACCATGGCTCAGGTCCTGGACATGGCAGCTTACCTTCTAACTCTGTCCCTCTCGGGTCAAATTTAAATAAAGTTCAATAAAATAATTCTTTAAAAAAAATTTTTAAAAACAAAACTCTTCTTGCCTGTCCTTGTCTCTCTCATAAAAACAAAAGCTAAAAAGACTTAAATGTGTGCATAATTAACATATGCACAAAAAGTTATATGGATAGGCAAAACAACAAACAATAACTTTCTTGCTGCTTCAAATAGATTGTATATTTTTTTTTGAGAGAGAGATTTTTTTTGCTATAGGGCACAATGTGCTCGCAAAGACAAAGACAGAAAGCAAGAAATTGCCACGGGGTGTGGGGATGACCATGCCACAATCCTTTTTTCTCCATTCTCTTCTCAAGAATTTGATGCACATGCACTCAGCATGAGTTGTTGCTGTTTTTTGTTTTTTTTAAAGAGATTTTTACTATAGGGTGCATACGCTCACCAGAGACAGAGAAGACAGAAAACACCTCGGAGGGGATGGCCACACCGAAATCCCTTTTCCTCTCCTTGGGATCTTGGGCACACACGCACACGCTCCCAGTGTGTTTTAAGCCGATGGGTCTGGGACTTGAACCATAATCGACTATATGGAGTCCAGTGATGTAGCCATTACACATATGCTGGTCTCGTGTTTTTTTTTTTTTTTCTTTGTATTTATTTATTTTTTTGGTGAGATCTTTGCTACAGGGTGCACATGCTCTCCAGAGAGACAGAGACAGAGAAACAGAAAGCAAGAAATCACCCCCCAGGGAGGATAGCCATGCCACATCCTCTTCTCCATTCTCCTCTCAGGATCTTGGACACGCATGCACACGCACCTGGAGTGAGTTCAGAACACCAGGTCCGGGACTCCAACCGTGGTTGACTACATGGGAGTCCAGCAACATAGCCATCACTCCAACTGCTGGTCCCCTTAAGAGATATTTTTGCTATAGGGTGTGTGTACTTGCTGGAGACAAAGATGGAAAGGTGAAAAATCACCCCCTAGGAAGGATAAGTCATTCCAAATGCACACATGCTTAGCTTAAGTTTCAAGCTGCCAGGTTCGGGACTTGAACCTGTTAGTCATGTGGGAATCCAGTGCCATAATCACTGTGCCACCTGCTGGTCCTTATATTGTCCTTTTTTTAAAGTTTTCATTATCGGGCACTATATACTTACTGGAAACAGAAAGTTTGAAAGCATTCTCAAGTGGAAATGGCCACTATGCAATCTCTTCTCCTCCATTCTCCTCTCAGGATTTTGGGCAGGTGTGCGCATGCACACACATACACACACACAGTATGATTTTCAAGCCACTGGGTCCAGGACTCGAACAGTCAGCCCTGAGGGATCTAGCTACCTTAACCTCTATGCCATGGCTGTCCCCATAGTGTAACTGTTGAATGAATAACTAATGCAATCCTCTTCCTCTGTTTAGAGCAACTAAGAACTTGACTTTTTTTTTCTTTGTAATCGCTAGAGGGTATGTCTGATCACCAGAGACAAGAGAGAACAAGCAATCCCTTTTCTCCAGCTCTCTAACCTACCTGGATTTGGCCATGTGGCATCCAGCTCCTTTAATCACTAGGCTATGAGGCCAATGCAATTTCTGGAATTGTAGTGTTGGCTCTGACCCTACATTGCAGAGTACCTACTGTGTGCCAGACACTGGGACTTAAGGGTGAGACAGTAAATGAAAATACACGTGGTTTTCTTTTTTTTAAAGTTTATTTCTTCTGTGTGTGAGAGAGAGAGACAGAGAAAAAGACAAAGGCACCCCAACAGGGTCTTTGCTCAAACCCCAATCTCAGCTGGCTGAGATTATGGGCAAGTGTATGTCTGCATGCTCAGGGAGGTCTTGGTACATGAACCCAGAACCTTTCCTGTGTGGATCCAGCTGTTACCTATGTGCCAGTACCTGGCTCCAGACGTGACTTTTACCAGCATGACTTTTAGAAAAGGAAACAGAATAGTCACATAGATGTATATCCGTCAGCAGTGGCAATACTGCTCTTCCTCGGGGAGGCTAATGCTATGAGGGCAGATAAAGGACAGGGAAAGCAGAGGCCTGAGCTGGCTGTGAATCATGAACTGCATCCAGGTAGGTAGGTCCATTTTTCCTTCTCAGGCTCCTCCTCCAGGCCCTCCTTTGCCCCAAGATTCCCATGGCCTCCCTCCTAGAGCTGTTGGGTAACCCTCAGACTTCCTCCAGGAGTTCTGAACCATCCACTGCTACCTCGAAGGAGGTATTGTGCTTTTTTAAACATTTATTTCATTTTATTTGTTATTTATTATTTTTTAATTTGACCAAAAAGAGAGAGCAAGAGAAGGGGAAATTTGGGACTAGCAGGTGGCGTGGTGGTTAAGGTGCTAGACACTCCCACATGGCCAACCACAGTTCAAGTCCCGGAACTGGTGGCTTGCTTTCTCACTTTCTCTCTCTCTGCTTCTCTCTGGTCAAATTAAAATAAATAAATAAATAAATAAAATTATTTAAAATAAATTAAAAAAAAAAAAAAAAAAGAGAAGGAGAAAGTGAGAAATCAAGTCACCAGGCCCGGGACTCAAACCACAGTCAGTTATGTAGGAGTCCAATACCTTCACCACCACGCCCCCTGCTGGCCCTGGTATTGTGCTTTAATAACAGAAAACAGGTCATAACCCAAAGCAGTGGTCCCAACACTTTGTTGAACATCCACACAACCTGATGAGTTTGTAAGATACACAGACATCTCTCTTGTGCATGGATGGAGGTGGCCAAGAGTGCTGACTGAGTCCACAGAGGACAATGACAGATAACTTGTCCAATGGAGATGCTAGCAGAGGGTCAAGGCCAGTCTTACAAGTGGATCTGCTGGGCACTTCTTATTCCTTGCCTCTGTTCAGGATGCAAAGATCTGGCTGAGATCATGGCGATGGAGAAAGGATGATGGATTGGAGAGACCATGGCTATGGAGAAAGAATGATGGATTGGAGAGATTAGAGGGATGATAGTATCAGGGAGTCGAAATACTGAGCTCCTAAGCCTGGAAGCTGAGTGGAAAGACTGGGCTTGTTTCAGGCTATGCCAAGTTTAAGTCCACAGTTCTGAGAGACACCCCTAGAGATGCCTGCAGAGGGTGCAAATGGCCCAAAGCAGAAAGCTGCAGCTCATAGGCATGGGGTGGGGGTTCTCTGCTTCTGTGCTCCCATTGCAAGGAAGTGGGATTGTTGCCCAGTGGCTTCTGCAATGATACCCAGGTTCTTGGTGTTTCAGAAAAAGAATGGAATGAAACATGCCAATAGCAAAAGGAAAGGGTAGTTTATTAAGTACAGCATAAGTAAATTATGGAGAGGTAGGAGCAGGCCCAAGCAGAGAGAAAAACAGTGGCTAAAAAGGTACTGGCAGCTGGGAGCTGGCAGGTGGCATGGTGGTTAAGGACACTGGACTCCCACATAGCTTACTAAGGTTAGAGTCCCAGACTTGGCAGCTTGTTTTCTCCCTTTGTCTCTCTCTGGTCAAATTAAAAATAAGTAAATAAATTTAAATAAAAGATATATTTTTAAAAAGGCCCTGACAGTTAATACATTCCGAGAGGTTTGGAAGTTGTTGTGTCTTTAAATAATTATTTTTATTTAACTTTATTATTATTTAACTTGAAGAGAGAAAGCAAAACGCCAGGTCTGGGACTAGATCCACAGTAGGCCATGTGGGAGTCTAGCACCCTTAACCACCATGCGACCTGCTGGCCACAACGTTTTTAAGTTTTTAATTTAGGTCG